AATAGTTCGGTAGCCGATGGAAATACCATGTTCATTTGCATATCGACCATGAAAATACCGAAAACATTATTGCATGGGTGATATGCAAATTAGTTTTTGTCAAAATAAGTGACTGGCTAAAAGTACCATTACTGTTGTTCAAATTTCATTTCACTCGGCAAGTATATTCATGTACCCCAAGTGAAAAATATCGTACTTCCTAATATTGTTTATTTCTGCTATGTTTTGAAAAACTGTACTCCTGAAGGGACTACTTTGTTTGCTCTCAGACCTCATTTGCATATGAGGTGTTGAAATACCGATTTTGATTTCAGGGAAGAATCAAAATAAACTGCAGTACATATGTAATAAAGTACATTACTTTAGTCCACTCATTGGAGGCATATCACAAACTCTCATAAAAATATGTTTCTGATCATTTTTGGGGGGCTAAAATACTTGTCAGCACCCAAATTTTACAGGTTTAAGCAATTCGTCAACAGAGGGTGCTGTTCAGACCAAAAAAATGATTGATTTTTTTTGGCATATGTGTTGATTTTTTTATTGTTTTTTATATATAGGATATTTCATCCAATACCAATGGAAGCATGGCATCTCCAAGAAGATTAGCTATAGTCAATCCCAGCTCAGTAGCCAGTCCTAGAAGTGCCAAGAAGAAACCTGCAGCTAAATCTAATGCCAAGCGGCATATAGAAATATCATCATCCGAGGAGGAGAACAGTGAAGATTATTCTCCTCGAAAGAAAAAAAAAGTGGTTAAATCTCAACTTGGTAAGGCTGTAAATACGTCACGATCCAAACCAGCGAAACAAATAATAAAACAAACTGTTGTGGTGGAGTCTGATGAAGAGATGGAAGAAGATGAGTTACCAGTTGTAAAGAAAACCCCTTCCCGATCTAAACCAAATAGGGTCAAATCGAAAGCCTCTTCCAGTGTGAAGTCAAAACGAAAACATAAGCTAGATGTTTCTGAGGACAGTGAAGCATCACCAGTGAAAAGAAAATTGAAGTCTTTAAAAGTACCAGTCGAGTATGAAGATGATGACGAGTCACCTGAACAGAAAGTGAATAAAAAAGGTAGATGTGATAAGTTATTTCCTTTGTTGTGTAATTGTCTATCATAACCGACCTGTAACATTCGGCATCTCTCATCCAATTCTTCATTGAAGGTGCAGTGTAGAAATAAACTGTCATCTCTTCACTTCATTTCCAACCAGGCTATCTCAATTCAATTTGGGAATATTTTGCTGGAACAAGTTGTGAGGAGGAAGGCATGTTGGTCTCGTGACGAGTCTACACAAAGTAAGCTATGAGTACGGTCACCTGCTTCTATCTCTCGATGGGTACATAGTGGTTACCGGTACTTACATTTTAAATGTTTAGGCCTTTAGTAGAGTTTAGCTAATATCCTCCGATGACTGTCCTGTGCATTGTGATACCCAATGTGCACTTTACTCATGGAGAATGTCCCTTTGAGAGACGAAAGTTTAGGCAAACCACATGTTTGTTATATGGTTCCGCATGTAAATTAAAATATTGAAACACACACTGCACATCATCTCTTTAATTCGAGGTCTAGTAATAATTAAGTGAAGTCATACACAGGCATAAACCTAAAACCATTGCGACTTGGACTTTTTTTACTTTATTAAGTTCAAGTAGATGTAGTATGTCCTCAGAATGGAATGTAGTATTGAATGATTAGTTTAAATGTAGAAGTTAATCAGCTAGATGTATTTGTACGCTTTTAGTATTCTCTATTTACTACAATATTTAAAAATGATTATCTTTTGTATTTCAGCCACCCCAAAGCACACCACCAAGAGGTCTAAATCTAAGAAACAAGCGGTAACTATAGCAACCCAGACATCACCTGGATTTTACAAGAGATACCGATAGCTGCAGCTATTAACACTACCAATTACTAAACTGACTACTTTGAAAATTATTTATTCAAGTGTCTATAGAATTCTGATCTGATTTTGTAACTTTTACCTAAAGTTATTTGCAGTTTGTATTATATTTGCAGAAATTAAATTTGATAATAAATCTCAATTAGGTTTACCTGTGTGTTGTATATCTAAAATTGGAAGGGTCCAGCTCGAAATGTTCCCAACTAAACGTATCAAGTCACAATAGACTAAATCCTTCAAATTTACTCTTGAATCTGGCCCGGGACCCTACAAAACGGTGATACAATCCAAAATTTGACCGATTTTAGCTTCGCTGTCTGCACGAGTGTTTGTCATTCGTTTTCAACTTGGTGTATATGTACCTTGGGCAGACCACTCTTAGATTTGTACATTTTGTAATGATTTTTCTATTTTTGATAAGAAAAGTGATATTTTCGTCGTCTTGTTGAAAATAGCAAATTTGATAATATACATATATGTACCTCAGGTAGACCTCTTCAAGATGTGTTCAGTTATTTAATTGAAATGTACATTGCCATCAGCTGAGTTAGCATCCCCAGCATACAAACACCTTTTTGGACACAGAACACTTTCCTGGTGTATATATAGATATGTATATAACCACAATCATTGTGCAACTCATCAGTGATGGCATTTTAGTTGAATGATAGTTGTGCAAAGCACACATGGGAGATAATGATTTTGTTCTGTTTAAGCAAAATCTCCAACTTCTGAGCGGATTTAGTACTTTGGTGCAATGTCAGACGTTAGCATTAGAACCATGACTTTGCTTATTGTCTTAATTCAGTCTGTGTAAGGAAAATTGTGAAATGTATTTTGATCATATTGGCGCTGAACATCTGCTGGCTGGTGATCCTAACCTCGGTCATTGTTCCTTCACTGACTGTCGGCAATTTTCCCTTCCAAGATATTTTTCTTTTATAAAACAATGCATGTATTCACAAGGGAGTGTAATGAGGATTTGAGACAAAGATTTAACAGCCCTTTTATGTTAACCAACTTTTCATTTCAAAAAATCACAAACAAAGCAGACATATAATTAAGTATTTATTTATGTTTGAATATTGTAACTGGAATTCTACTTCTTCTATTGAGCAGAAAATTATCAACATTTGTTGAATTGCTCTACCATACAGTAAGATATAAGCGTTGCTATGGGTGCTTTGTGCAGGATTTCTGTGAATCTGTATTGTTTGAATAGTGCATACATCCTGAAGTTAGTACAACTTAAGTAAAAGTGGAGGTTTTTTTAAATAAAAAAAGGTCAAGCCCGTGTTTTAAGTCTCTGTTCATAAAAATTAAGTGGAAAATCCCAAGACTTATGATACTGTTATCCGAACCTCCAGACCTGACCACCCAAGGGTTTATTGATATTCTCTAATTTTACCACTCTGATCGATGAGTACAATTTTTGGAGGAATCCAGCATTACGTTAGCAGTTAAATTTTTTTTTTTAATACGATAGTCATTCAGTGATCTCTTTGACTGTGGACTTTATTTCAGACTCATCAATGCATTAGGTCAAGTTCCTCCACCACAAGACTACCGTGGCCACTATTGTTCATCACTGGCAGTGTAGTAGTTGTTGCATCAGACTACCGGTAATGATTGGTGAACCAGAGTTCAAATCCTACCCTGGGTGAGTGTTCCATAGAAGGCCAATTCCACTGGAGATTCATTCACTAACGATGTAACTTCAGAGGAATCATGATCAAAGTCTGCTTGTGCTTGAATTGCCATTTGATAGAGAGATGGCTGCACAGCCCTATCATGTAGTTCCAAATGTGAATATGGCTTCTGTGGCAAAAATGTTCTACCTGTATGTATTAACACATAAAAAATGTCAGGACAGACTACAGTAATATTCAATGTTCTGAACCGACACAAAACATTTATTTCAACAACAAAAAAAGTGCAACATTTCCAGATCTGCTATAAAGGCATAATGATATTTGATGTGTGGTTTAGCTTGTCTTTTCTGTAGAATTTTTAGCTTCCGTGAAACTGAGCTTGTGTTACCGGTGTCTGTGACTGACTAAATAATTTTCCACTGATAACTCAATATCTACAATTTCAATTTCAAATAAAATTTGGTACACAGCTAATATATCATGAGTAGATGTGCTGATTAGATTTTGGTGCAATTCCATGCATGTTAATTAGCTAATTATTGCATTAATTAATTTATAACTTAGTGGTCTTTGAAATTTCTGAACAAATATTTGACTTGGGTGAGTAGGCTAATTTGCATATTGCGATAATGTATTCTGTTGCAAAAATACTTGGTAATATTTCATTGGAAGGTCTGAGAATTTGCGAGTTTAAATATACACAAAAATGTATAACGATTTAATAGGTCATGATGGATGTTATTTGAGCAGATACAGCAACTAAAAACATCAAATATATGCGGTTTTATCAGTATGGCGAGTATGCATGCGCAATTACAAGAATGGCGCAGCCATTTTTTTAGTTTGACGAAAAAGCAGGACCGTTTCTCATTATCATAAATGCAAGTTCAATTTCACTATGTGCGTCATATTCACCAATAAACAAAATCAAAGGCTCAATCTTGATTCGCAAATGTGATGGTTGCATGTACAGTGTTCTCAGGCCTTTCAAGCACTATGGGCTTCACTTTTGTTTCGCCCGCAATTCTTGAAATCTTGTCCGCGATGCTTAAGTTGTTGTATTGTTTACAAGTGTCAGCCTAGTCTTTAAAACAATAACATGTATTGATCGAAAGGTAATCTTGCCTTTGTTAGCCTTACAAAAACAGAAGTCTTTTGAGGGAGCGGGGCCTGCAAAATAATAATTTGTCGATTGTGTCTGGAAGATCTTGAGTTTTGAAATGCAGTTGCAGAAAAAAAAATGGCAATCTGGCAGACTTAACAAATTTAACCAAAAAATGTTTTTCCCCCCACGTCATATGAACTGACATGGGCACTAAAACTGACTGTACCTGTTGTAACAATATATTCATAACAATACATTTTTGCTGTTCTATTTCAAACTTTATTTGACTTAATGCACACATGAAATACAATGAAGTGATATAAAATATATGAGCTATAAAAATATATCTTCTTTATTGTAGTTACTGTATCACAATGTTTGTTGGAGAAACAAATTATTATGCAAATTAGCCACGATGCTTGGCATGGAGTCTGGGGAGAACACTGATGTATTTGAGTTAATAAAAATACCGGTACCGGGCACAAATGTAGTTAGGTGGAATCACAGGTGCTTGTTAGACCTGGGATCGCTGGTTTTCTGCCAAAATATAAGACAATTATTCCTTTGTGCTAATTGATTGTAATAAGAGAACCAGTGAGATATTTAAGAGCCACTTTATTAGTCCCCGTTCGGACGCAGTCCGAAAACGGGAACATATGATTTGACCTATGTGTGTCCGTGCGTGCGTCCGGACCTGTATCTTAGAAATGCGTGGATCAATCACAATCAAACTTAACACATACATCATATTATACATATGCATGTCAATTTGTTTCACGATCTGATTCAAGATGGCCGAATTTTTGTGCTACAAATCATCAAAATCAAGCATTTTTCGGCTGTTTACAGATGGATTTTGTTCAAACTTGGTGTATACATTAGACATTATGGGACCTTGATGCAAATAATTTTTATTTTCAGATTAGATTCGAAATGGCCAACTGGCGGCAATTTTGTTTTAATGAATGTGGTTCTCAAGCCATATGTCTGACTTGCTTTCACTGATTATGTTCAAATTTTAAATATTCATTATACATCATGTCATAGATAGACAGATATATTGGTTTGACGATCCTATTCACAATGGCCAAATGGTGGTCATTTTTGTGCTAAAAATCATCAAATATCAAGCATTTCTGGATGGATTTCTTTCAAACTTGATATATACATTAGACATAACGGGTTCCCGATGCACATCATTTTATTTGTCAGATCAGGTTTAAAATTGCTGTCTGGCGGCCATTTTGTTTTAATGAATGGGTTTCCAGACCCATATGTCTGACTTGTTTTGACTGATTATGTTAAAATTTTTTATATTCATTATACATCATGTCATAGATATACGAATATATTGGTTTGACGATCCTTTCAAAGTGGCCAAATGGTGGCTATTTTTGTGCTAAAAAAATCCTCAAATATCAAGCATTTCTTGCATTTATGGATGGATTTTGTTCAAATGTACAATATACATTAGACATTACAGGTTCCTGATGCACGTCATTTTATTTTTCAGATTGGATTCAAAATAGCTGACTGGCGGCCATTTTGTTTTAATGACATGCCCGATATGTTGATAATATGAGGTTATTACCAGGATACCTCAAAGACAGTACAGCTGGATTATCTGCTGACGTGCAGCAGAGGTTGATGTGTATTGTCTGAGTGCATACTTTGAGGTATCCTCATAATAACCTTATTATATACTTTTTTTTTTTTTTCAAAAGATACATCATGGAAATTATGCCGAAATCCAAAAGGTTTAGAACAGAATCAGCAAACTTCTTTGTGTGGTATCCGGTCAAACCCTGGTGGCAGCCATGTTTGTTTTTATTATAAGCGTATTTGGAATTGGCATTTCCTAATATGATAGGATGAAAATACCCCATAAAATATTGCAAAATTACGGCATGCTGTAACTTATGGCATTACGGTGACAGATATATAAATATACCGGTAGATTATAGCATCGAAAACAGTGGAATTTACCATTCTGTAAAAAGTATATCAGCACTCATTCCAAGGTTTAAATTTTCTCATATATTTACCACATTACTGCATACATTTCATTTTTGGGACCTTTTCAATTCTCAACTCCATACCTGCAATGATATGCATATTTTGTAGCCAAAAAATGATAGCATTCTGAGTGTAAATTACGAGACATATGCTGGCCATGTTTCATGCACAAAAGTTTTTTTTTATTATTTTATACATTGACTGAACTGACCCTTCATTTGCATGGTTTTTTTTTTTCACTTGAAGGGTGGATTTTTTTTTATTAAAGGGCAGTAGTCGTCGCGCAGCGCGTGTTCAAATTTTATGTAAATAAACAATGTATTTTCCATGCGTTGTATACGTCGTATGAGTCCCATATTGAACAGGATACGGCGCGACAACCAGCGCCTTTTAAAAGGGTAATAATTATTACATTGAGATTGTTTGCCACCTTTAGACTGAATACCCCCACCAGCTTCTTTGGCTTCTGTAAAAAGTGCTTTCTTTCAGTGACCTGAGCGTTCATGTCCTAAGTATTTTTTTTGAGAGATTATATGGTTTTTGTTTGGCAGCTACCGGTAGTAAATGGTCTGCCAAATACAGGCTCCTTTCTGCAGTGTAAAGCTTTGATTCTTATGTTATAACATGGTTAGTTTGAATCTGGCCATCTGATTGGCTGTAGCAAGGTTTTATATCTGGCACAATTATCCAACTGGATCAAGATCGCACAATTGTGAGCGCTGTTCATTGTGTTTGCAGGTATGTGATCAACTGACTTAAAACAGGGAAATCTGGTACAAGTACTAAATATGAATTATTGCCAAAAATTATAATGCTCATTTTGCAAGAAAACTCAAAACATTGAGGAAGGTGCATGCACTCAAATCAAACATGTCATCGACTCTTACAGGGCCTGTTGTATTGTATTTTTTACTTCTCTTGTGCAGAAATATTGTATGATCGCTAATTCATTGAAATCAACTTAAAATTGTTGTAGATTTTGTCATTCGCCTCGTCAAAATTTAGAATACGCACTGCACTACAAGTAAATTCTGATCCCTCAAAATGCATTAGAATACCAATTCACACAAATAAAACCAAAAATCTCATTATGTTTTCAGAATTATCCCACTTCTAGATGTTTTTAAAAAAACTAGGCTCTTTGTCATCCCTTAAAACGACATTGGGAGAATTTGAAATTTACACATAGCAACGTGTTACAGCATATTTCATGTGCGTTATAGACACTATGCTTGGGTATTTGCTAGTGGATATAACCTTGCTTACTTTGTCCCATCAAATAGCTTTGCTTGCTCTTTATAAATAAACAGCTTATGCTAGGTTGTTATCTCCATCAAATAGGCTAATTTTCTGCTTGCTCTTATAACCTCTAAATAAACTGTTTATGCTCCTGTATTAACTCAAATGACCTTGCTGTCATGCATGATTTTAGTTTTCTAATTTAGAACATGAACATTTTACTATGCCAAACATTTTTTTAGCTTTCAAATGTACATGTGCCATATAACTTAAAATTTGAGCAGTTTTATTTTTTTAATTTGCAGACAGAAATAAAAATGTATGAATATTTTATTTGCCTGGTATATTTTGTTATGACATTGGTGTTGCTTTACAATGTATGTTACATGTGGTTTGGTTGATTGAATTACTGGTATTTAATTTTGGTAAATGGGGAACAATGTAATAACGAACAAACTGAGTGTCCATCACGATTTTTAGTCACAGGCGTTTATAAAGGCACTTTTTTTTCTTTTAATCTTTGTCAAATCATCAAAATCTTGATCAAAACAACATTACTGATGGAGGGGATAGATGGACACATCAATAGTGATTGTAAACCAGGTGTATAGGGATCTGATGAATCGCAAAGCATGGAAAGGTTGTTCCATGAAGATAACGGCACAAAATTCCTAGTCTTGAGTTCCGTTGTACAGTATTACTTATTCACAGATTATGCGGTTGTAGTCACCATGGGTTACACCAGACTATTGTCAGCCTTGCTAGCATTTCTCTAATGTAAGCTTGCATCACTTTGTAACCATCTTGACTGTGATTGGCTTGCTGCAATAAGGACATTCTCCAAATATGGTGTTGAAACTCTGACGACTGGATGGTAGTGCACGCAACCACTGAAATCAAAGAAAATATAATCTCATATTGACAGTGAAAATGATTTCCATCTAGAATGGTGATAAGTATGCATGCTGGTTTGATTTCCCAACTGTCCACATAATAATGTATTATAACTCCCAAACTAGCAACAAACGTCAGTCTGCTAAAGTAAAAATAATGGAATGAAAACTCGAAAAGTCAATGTTCAATAGTCTTGATATGCACAGTCTAGAACAAACCAATAAGAAACTCAGCTGGCATGGTAGCTGTCCATAAATGTATTTTCTAATTGTTGAAGTTCAACAACAATTTTTATTATCTTGTCTTGGAGTGAAAGGTAATTTCAACATGACATCCCAAAGAATTTAACTTTTATGTACCAGGAAAAGGGGGGTTAGTTGATGAGAGTGTGTACATTTTTGGCAAACAGTACACAATAAACTCACACATTCTATAATACAAACCTCATAAAGACAAGTTTGGTGGAATGGCTGTCCACATCTTGGATCTTCACATACTTTATCTGGTATTGTAGTCTCTAGTCGATAAGAGTAACATATACCACATTCCATACTGAAATCCTGTTAAGAAGATCTTTTGTTTTTATATGATGATTTGAACTGCATTAATAGACTAATATCTCTAGGGGTTGTACATCTGCTGACAACCGTATCAGTGACATTTATAAGTTCACTGGTTTATACTCACTGTATTTACTCTTTGAAAGTCGAACACATCGATGATCAATAGACATAATGGCCATCGTGGTGAATATTACTTCAAAAAGATTTTTAATATTGACATTCAAGTTTGAAAATGCTAAAAGTGACAGGGAAGAGAAAAAACAAGCTTTCACTAATTGTTACCTGTTTCTGTATTTTTGAAGGGGATGGAAATTCAATCTGTATGATATTATGTAAGTTCATCAAAGCACTCTGCAATGGATCCCATCTCTCCAAATTAGCATTGAGTTTGTCCCTCAACGGGTTTACAACTGTCAGATAAATATTTATTTGTTTAATGTATATCAGCATTATGTTAAACATAACTATTTAATAAGAAATGTTCACAAGGTTTTTAATAGTGCACGAGACTCCAGCTTGTCTCCTATACAATTTGACTGCGCACATCCAGAAAGTAGATGTAGCTGTGATTGGTGGAATACTAATGAGTTGAGTGTCAATCAAACGCCCACGCTATCTTTAGTAAACAAAGTCACGTGACACGCGCCATTTTAGTTTTGATTAGTTCATCGGATCGGAGTGTCGGTGCTCGCCATCCATAAATCAAATCAAAATGATTTCTAAGGAAATTGTCGCGTCAGCAGTGGACAGTGTCTTAAAACACATCGATGGCATCAACTCTATCAAAGAAGAACAATTGTCCGCAATTGAAGCTATATGTAACAGGAAAGATACTGTCGCTTTTTTGCCGACTGGTTTCGGAAAATCGCTTATTTTCCAAATTCTTCCACTTGTCATCAAAGAACTAGGGTTAGATCCTTTCACAACGTCGCACTGGATCAAATTGGAAAGACGATTTCCATAAGTTATCCCTCCTGCTTTTCCTGGCTTGAATAAATTCACACACGACTTTAACTGTCCACAAACTCGAAGACTACACGAACACAGTCTACAATAGTCGTCCGCAACAATATGTATGTATTTCTTCGGTGTACTGATGCACGAATGCACCGTGACACGGTGTTTCTCGGGTGTGGCCATCGCTGAGAATGCCGCCGGCGCAATTTTTCACCCAACTCGCGATTCTGTTTTGCAACATTTTATCAATATTCCCTTTGACAAAATCGCCGACAAAAGCACCGCTTTGCTGATCTTTTGTTCTATAATTCTTAATGCAAACACCGACCCTAGTAGTAATTAGTAACGTCGCCTAGTACATATGAACGGTCGCGGTCGTCATTGCAAATCGAACATCCTTTTGAAATGTGGACGTCGGGCAGGCGATTTCAAGGCACCGCACTTAAATATTAGCAACATATTTTTCTGAGCGGTTGTTTATTCTCTTTCAAACGAGACATAAATGTGACGACATAGTCGATCCCTTATCCACCGCTAAGAATGCCGCAATGTTTCGTTCGTTTTGCAACATGCCACAAATCGTCGAAAAAAACACCATTTCGACGGAAGCTTGCGTAATAAGGGGGTTAAAACAAGAAAACAAATGCCATGTTTAATACATATCGACCTGTTTTACTTGCGAAAGATAACGGAACATGAACTCGTTTCGTGCGACTTCGGAACCCGAAGGAACACACCAACAACGTTGAATTTACCCGCTATCTTCCAAATATGGTATATTAATTTATTCAGTTGTTTATTTAGAGTGACGTCCGCGGTCGAATGCGATTGGCTATCGATGTCAGTGCAAAGGTCATATGAATATTAAAATTAAGTGGGCGGAAGGAAAATTGTATAGGAGACAAGCTGGAGTCTCGTGTGGCGATAGCGATAACACCGGGACGAATGGTCTGGGGTACAAGTTGCACAACTTTTCCAAAAATGATGATCAAGGCCAGTTCACAATAACAAATTAAATTTTGCTCAAAATTACCACTGAAATGTTCATAAAAATTGTTGGTGGGAACAATTTTGGATTCCAAAGTTAACCCTGAACTATTAATTTATATATTTTCTTACCATGATCAGCACCTAAAAATCTACATTCTGGCAATACTCTAGGGTGGAATGGATCAATGTCAATCTGCAGTGATGAGCTACTTCCTTAGATAAGAATTAAAAAAAAAGTCAATTGATGATTGGTGTATCCGTAGCAACTATGACCATGTCCACAGCAACCAATTGAAAACATGTCATATTTTCTAATAATGTACTGTATTAATCTCAACATCTCGTATACAATAACATGAAGTACAATATAACTATACAATTTGGTGGGAACAATAATCCCCCAAATTTTGGCAGGATATATTACTGCAGTATCTATTACCAACATCTTGTTCTCATGATCACTAGTTTAAATATCTTCATTCTTATGTTTTAATTTAGCCACATTTTCACCAATATTAGTCATGCTAATCACACCAAAATTAAACTTGGTTGACATTTTATAGTGATTGATAAAATTTTCAAGTTTGACGATGATCAGATAGAAAATTGTTTTAAGTTATGGTAACCACTAGACAATTGTAAATTACATTTTCACCATGGTCCCTTTTAGGCTTTATCATAAACAGAATTGCAAAATATATAATATAATAAACATGCCAAAATTGAATTGAACTGGACTGAGATCTTATATCCTAAACATGTATGTATGTTACTGTCCCATATTGTATTCAATTTTGACAAAGATACGAATTAGTGTAAGACATTTTCTCCTTGTGTACTTTAAGTTTTCCCCTCATCAATGATATGGACAAGGTGAAAAAAATCACATTATGAGCAAGGATGTGAAACCAACCTAAGGCAATTCTTCTTAATGTGCTTGCATAGCTGGGATTTTCTGGTTCAAGCACCCATGTTTTTCCATCAATCTCATCAATAATATCAAAATAATCTTGATATTTTTCTAATTCCTGGGAAAACTGGTGGTAAATATCCTGTAAAGTACTCTGAAAAATGAATGGGCACTTGTATATAATTTATTTCAACATTGGGTGTTATTGGCGAAAAAAAAAAAACTGTCACATTTAGTTTCTTACTTTCTGAGTCCATACAAATTTGAACAATGCTGGTAGTTCAGTTAAACACTGTGGAGCAACAGAGGGATGCTAGAGGGATAAAACAAAAAATGAAAGTGTTTAGATCTTGGCAGTCAAATAAATACATTATTTTTGCTCAAGGAGTGATTCAATGAAAATAAAATTCAGTGAATATACTTTGTTTTCTATAATTTACATTCAATACATCAAAAATCAGTGAAAATAAATTCCATACTCAACATTCAAAAAGTCTTTTCAGTGAAAATTAATTCCAGCTGAAGTATTTTACAGTACTGATTACCCAACTATGTTTGTCATACATATACAGACTAATCTGTCAATGACTTCTTGTGATATTTGAAACAAATTATCCTAACTTTCAGTTTCATGAATAATATAGCCTATATCCAATAGATTTGACTATTCTG